ATATTGGAAAGATGACCCAAATATTAATCATCCCACCTGCTATACTTCTGAACCTTAGGGATTGGTTGAGTCAGATACATATTCGTAATTCAGTGACTGTCTTTACCACTGTAATTACAGGAACCTCCTTCACAGTAACAGGAAAGGCATAAAACACTGAGCTTAAGGAAGACTTACAGAGCCAAAAAAGGGAAACAGATACTCAGGCTGATTACAGCCTAGCTGCAAATCACACTAAATGTATTAGTAACACTACAGGTGTACATATTGCAGGGTCCCTACACCTTTTTAATAGGATCTTCAGTCTGTTTGAAAAACCCCCCCAAAAAACACAGCAGCTATAATTGCTGTAGTTGTCAAGTTTTAATAAAAAGACACTTGCCAGTCCAGGGATCCAGTGATGTCCTCACCTGGGCTGGACCTTTGCCGGTCTTTTGGTCCCCAGTACCCCATGTTTACTGTGGGAAGCCAGCTGTAAATCCCTGCAGCTTCACATCTGGCTTCATACTGTGCATGGGCTGTTCAGGCTGCTCGTTGTGAAATGACACACAGCCTCCTGGGGGTGAACTTCCGATCCAAGCAGTAGTGGGAGCCAAAACTAGGTACCAGCTCCCTTAAAAAAAAAACCTCCAAAAGTGGGGGGGATAAAGCTGAACTTCCCTTTTAGGGTGAAGTTCCACTTTAAGGAAAGTGTACCCCACATAACCATTGAAGTGGTTTCTGGAGGTTGTCTGTTGTACCAAATGACAGAAAATATATGGGATCTTAGACCTAAAAGGTTCCCAGACCTAATATAGGTGATATTAAACAGTAAGTAAACAGATCAGTTAAAGGCTAAGTTCACCTTTGGAACAGGTTACATGTTCCACCTGTTTTTAGGATGGACATGTAACATGTTCCAGCCCTTGCCTCCTCTCCCCCCCCCTCCCCCCCTCCCTGTGATAGTGGGCAAGGGGTCTTCTCACAATTTATAAACAGCACTGCCTAGTGGGGCTTCGGCAGACAGTGTACTGAGAGTCTGCAGGAGCCTTGTATTGCATCTTTTGTAAAAAAATAATACATGCTCATTTATTATTACCTGCAAAAAGATTACCATTTATACTTTTTATAAAAGGTGAACTTATCATTTATAAATATAATACATTAGATATTCATCTCTGTAAGAGATTTGCAGATATCTAAAATACTCATCTATAACTGGTTCAGAGATAACATTTATTATGGGATTGCAGTACAGTTAAGGTTTTGAAAATATAAATCCATTCCAGATATGGGTCTCTAAAATAGGAAAGTAATAGGAATTAGATTAGAGTGGATTCCTGCTCAAACTATCTTGTAGTTAAAGAGTTCTATGGGCACTTCCATTTATAGCATCAGCATTGTAATTACAATACAAACAATAGTTATTCTGACAATCCAATATAAACGTACTTGAAAAATCTCCTTTCGTGTTGTGAGTTCTGCCTTTCTATTGACCATCTCTTTCCACAATTTCCTGCAATCCTTCCATGTGTTGCAGCTTCTCCTCTGCTCTTTACTTTCAATTTGTAAGGACTACATATCCCAAAGGTACCTTGCTGTCTGCAAGTAGTGATTCCTGTACTGACTCCGCCTCCTGAAACTCCTCCTCTCACCATCTCTGTAGTTTGGAAGACAGGCTCTGTGAAATGTGAGACACAGCAGGAGATAGTAAATATTTGTCACAGTATTCAAGAACATAAACGTGTGGGATCTTCACAAAGTAGGTTTACGAATTTCAAGATTATTTAGATTATTAGGAGTAAGCTAGAAATAATTGAAATACAATGTGAAAATGTATAAATGATTTTAAAAGTTGACCATAGATTGTAATAGTGGAAAGTTATATCACTTAGTAATATTATGAAAACAACGGTAAGCCAAGATTTATGATTTGGGGTGGAGTTTCTTTTCAAAATAAAGAGGTATTGGATCGTAAAAGATCTTTTTTACATTTTTACACTCGAATGGGCAGTGCTCTGAATAGGTTGTAGGTTCCTGGAAAAGCATTCTTTTTCACAGTGATAATAATACCTAACAGAGAAATATTGTACGAATCCAGTTCATTCAATTGTAAGCAATTGTTTTATAAATCCTCATGCACACTTGACATTTTTACAACTGCTGCTTTTGACGTTTTTTTTCTACAGCTAGTAAACCCCCCAGCATGTTATCCTATTGCCCCATACACACAATAAGAAAATTGGATGAAAAATTTTGCAGAACCACTGATCGAACGATTTTCTCTTCGTTGATGAGCAGGATGTTTTAACCAATAACAATATTGTGAACGAAGAAGCAAATTGGATCATGCTTTGCTGGGTTTTTTGCCTTCCTCTGGATCAACTGTGGGTATAAGATTATGACTTTTTTTTCTTTTTTTGGTTGCACTAGATGGACTTTTGTCTTTTTTCAGCCAGACTAACTAGCTATGTAACTATGTAAGAATATCAGCTACAGGTAATCTTCCAGTAATGTCGGATCCAAATAACATCAATATAGATGAGGATCTGACTTGAAGACAACTTCCATTAAAGCCCTTGTGCGCAAGTCAGATAGAAGTCGCCTTGAAGTAGCACAGAAACCTTTTCTAAAGTTGGAGCGACTACAGTAGTGCTAATTAATATAGCTCTCTTTGACTAATATGGGAGTTCAATTGTCATGCAAGTTGGATCCCAAGTCGCGGCAGTGTGAACTGAGCATAATAGAGTACACCTTAGATTTGTTGTTGATGGTTCTAAACCATGAGACAGAATGGAATTTCTTAAAGGGGTTCTAAAGGCAGAAGGTTTTTTACCCTCATGTATTATTCTATGCATGAAGTTAAAAAAAAACTTCTGTGCACTGCTCCCCCCACAGCCCCCCTAATAATTACCTGAGCTCAGGAGCAAGCACTCACAAGTGCCAACACAGCAAGCGGAATTATATATTATGTTTCTAATATTGTCTTCTGTTTCTATTATTTGTATCATTGCCCCTTTCTATCATTCATGATAAGCTGTCCTTTAGTGTGGTCTGCCATGTGACATTTGCCTACATTCTAACCACAGACCTGTAGCTGGTAATACATTTCTTATTTGGAGACAGATAACAGTAGGTGTCAGGAATGGACTGCCCAGCAATGGTGGGACTCACCTGCCTTATGGGCTGCAGTACCAGGGCTGGCCAGCGGGTGCTCCAGCAATCAGAGACTCAACCTTGCAGCCAGTCAAACACCTGAAACTGCTTATACTGGTGTATTTAAGGGATGGCCAGACCTGCAGACTCTGCCTTGGTGTGTGTTTTTCCTGGGCCCTGTATCCTGTTCCTGCATCCTGGTCCTGGTCCTGTTCCTGTTCCTGTTCCTGTCTTGTTGCTGACCCTGCCTGATCTGGACCTCTGCTGACTTCTCCTGCTCTGACCCCGGCTCGTTCCTGACCATCCCTCTGCCTGACCCTCTGTACCACGCTGCCCGCGACCTGCTGAACCTGGCTTGTGACCCCAACCGTTCTCCGCTTGCTCCCCCTGTACCTACCTGCCCGATTGATATTGACCCTGCCTGCCTGACGACGCTTGCATTGTATGTACTGTTATCTGTGGGTGGTTGGTTTGGTTTGTTTGCACTGTGGTATGTTTTAGTATTGCACTGCGTTTATGTTTGTATTGTTAGTGTTAATAAATTATATTGTTTATAACATATCTGAAGTCTGCGTTTCCCTGCGTCAGTCACACACCTCTGGTCATACCCGGGAGCCCTGACATTACACCAAGGCCAATCCTGACCAGAAGTGGCTGCACAGGGAAGCCATCTTGGTTTGTTGATGGGAAGGATGGATCTTGATGAGGTTGTGTATTTATATCTGCTAGTGTTTGATGACAGAGAGTATGCTTATCAGACTCTGAAGGAGTATCCCCGGATGAACTGCTAGAATGTATACGGCTCTACGGTTCTAGTAGATCAGGCACAGAATTCTCTGAGGTGCAGCCATTGATTCAGGTTTGTGCGGAGTTGGTTTCACCTGGTACCCCCGAATGCAGGGATGATTTTTTGCCGCCATTTAGTGCCGACCAGGTAGAGTCCCTGGTATGGTTATTAGAGGATGATGTGGATTACTTTCTGGAGCATTATTCTGCATGTTCACCACAGGTATTAAGGAATTGTATAAACGCAGTGCAGTCTTTGGTCAACAGGCTTTGTGTAAGCTGAGCTTTGTTCAACCCATACTGCAGACATGGACAGATTTGTTGCACCCAGCCTCAGTCAGCTTACAAAAATCCAGTCCTGCTTCTAATCTGTTTATTCAAAGCTCTATTCCTGCATTCCCAACAGCTCCTCCTGCCCTGCTATCTACCGCATGTCCAGTAACCCTGTTCCCACTCGCTGCACCTATCCTGCCTTTAACCCTGTAAAAAAAGCCCTCTGTAGCAACTGTTCCCTCCCCTGTTCCATCCTCAGCTCTCTTCTCTGTCTCCAGCTGCTCCATTCGTTTGCAGACCTGCTTTACTTGCAGTGCTCCAGTAGTTAAAACCAGAAAAAAATGCGAAAATTCTTTCCAACCAGTACCATCCTGCCAGTATCCAAACCGTGAACCTGCCTTCCGTGGTTCAAGCCTGGTGCCTCGGCACCCGCACTTCAGCCTGATGCCTCTACTCAGCCTGATGCCTCTACTCAGCCTGATGCCTCCACTCAGCTGATGCCTCCACTCAGCCTGATCCTCTACCCAGCCTGATTAACTGATCCAGCCTGATGATCCTATTAGGTCCAGTTGACTCGGTGCCCACTGCCTTGCCAGATGACGGTGGTGCCTGCTGGCGAGCCAAATGACCTATGCCTTGTGACCCAGTGCCCGCTGTCATACCTGGTGACCCTGATACCCGCTGTCGAGCCAGACAATCCGGTACCTGATGACCCGGTGCCCGCTGTCGTGCCAATTGATTCAGAGCCCACTGTCGTGCCTGGTGACGTGGTGCCCACTGCCTTGCCAATGACGCAGTGCCCGCTGTCGAGCCAAAATGACCTGATGCCTGGTGACCCGATGCCCGCTGTCCAGCCAGACGATCCAATGTCTGACCCAGTGCCCGCAGTCATGCCAGTTGACTCGGAGACCCACTGCCTTGCCAGATGGACGCGGTGCCGCTGTCGAGCCAAATGACCTATGCCTGGTGACCCGATGCCCGCTGTCAAGCCAGACGATCCAATGATCTGACCCAGTGCCAGCGGTCATGCCAGTTGACTCGAGCCCACTGGTTTGGGCCTGGTGACTCGGTTGCCTGTCAACTCCGCCCTGGGGGTCCGGGCACCCGCCGCTCCGCCTGGGGGCCCGAAACCTGTCGCTCCGCCTGGGGGTCCTGGCGGCCCGCCTCCTCCGCTGGGGGCCCGAAGACCTGTCGCTCCGCCCTGGGGGTCCGGCGCCCGTCCGCTCGCGCCTGGGGCCCGAGACCTGATCGCTCTGCCTGGGGGGTCCGCGAGCCCGCCGCTCCGCCGGGGGCCCGACGACCTGTCCGCTCCGCTGGGGGTCCGGCGCGCGCTCGCGGTTTGTCTGGGGGCCCGCTGCCTGTCACCCCTCCTGGGGGCCCGGCGCCCGCCCGCTCTGCTTGGGGGCCCCGGCGCCCCATGGGTTTCCCCCCCTGGGGGCCGAGCCCGTCGCCCGCCGGGGGCCCCGGCCCCTTTTCCTCCGTGGGGGGCCCCCGGCCCCCCCCCCCTGGGGGCCCGGGCCTGTGCTCCGCCTGGGGGGCCCCATGCCTGCCTCCCCTGGGGGCCCGGACCTGCCCCCTGGGCCCGGGGGGCCCCGGGCCTTTCTCCGCCCCGGGCCGATGTGCCCCTGCCCCCGGGGCCCTGGCCTTGCCCGGGTCCCCCGATGGCCCCTCCCGGGCCGCCCCTTTCCCCGGGCCCCGGGGCCGCCCTGTGTTGCCCGGGGCCTTCCCCCGGGGGCCCCGCCCGTGGGCCCTTTTTCCCCAGGGGCCCGGGTCCCGGGGGGTCCTCCCGGTTCCAAATTTTAAAAAAAAGTTTCCAGCCGGGGGTGGCCCTTTTTCCCAGCTAGGACTTTTGGGGGCCCGACCCTTTTGGGGGGGGGTTTTTAGGGGGTGGCACCGCAATGTGGGGGTCCCCCGCCCTTATTGGGGTTCGACCGGGTGGCCGGGGGGCCCCCCAAAACGACTAAAACCGGGGGAGCCCAAACCCCGAAAAAAGCTTTCTTTTATTTTGGGGGGCCGACCCTGAACCTGCCCTTTGTGGTTTTTTGGGGCCCGATTTTCCCCTCCCCCCTTGTTTTCCCGCTTTTCTGACCCGGGGCTTTTTTTGGGTGTTTCCCTTTTTTGGCCCCGGGGGTTTTGTTTTTTTCCCCCTCGTTTGTGGTATTTAAATTTGGTTTACCCCCCCAATTCTCCCCTTGTCCCCCCCTTTTTTTTCCCGGGGCCGATTGTTTTGACCCGGTTAAACCCCATTTAATTTTATGTTTTTGGGGTGGTTTTTTTTGTTTTTTTTGTTTGCTTTTTTATTTTTTTTTTAGTTGATTTTAAAATAAATTTTTTTGATAACAAAAAAGGGCTTTTCCCTGCTTTTAGTTTACACCCGGGGAATTTCCCCAAAATGAAATTAGTCAGGGTTTTTCAGGGAAAACCCCAAAAGGGAAATACTGAAAAGGGGTTAACCCACCAAATTCCCCTTTTTTTAAAACCGCCAAAACAAAATTCACTTTAAAATTCTGGGGGAAAAACCCGGTTTTTAATTTTTGGGGGGTAAAAAATTTTGAATTAAGGGGGGGTTTTTTTATTGGGAAAAAAATTATAACCTTGAGGATTTTTAAAAAACCCCAAAAAAAGGAAAAAAGATCAGGGGGGAAAACCAATTTCTAAATTCCCCGACCAAATGTTTTTTTATGGCCCCCTGTTTGCGAACAAAACCCCCTGGGGCCCAAACTCTAAAGAGAAAGGGTTTTTCCCGGGGTTTTCTCCCCCCCCGGGGTAAGGGCCCAAACATCTATCTTAAAATTACCAAAATTTTTTTCCAAGGTTTTTTCCGGTTTATTTTTTTAAGCAAGGGGGCCTTTGGTTTAAAACCCTTTTTTTAGGAAATTTCCCCCTTTTAAAAAGGGGATTTTTTTCCCAAGGGGAAAACCCCCGGCCCCCCACCGGGGTTTCCCCCTTTTCGGGTTTTTCCCAACCAATCAGCACTCCCTTTTTAGCCGTAGGGTTTTCTCCCCCGGGGAAATTTTATTTCCTCAGCCCCCTAAAAGGTAAATTTGGGGGGTTTTTAAACTAATTTTTTCCCCGGTTTTTACCCTTTCTGTCTTACTTCTCGGGTTAACCTTTCCCCCCAGAATTCAGGGGGTGGGTGGATCCCCCAAATTTTGTCAATTGGAAAACCCCTTTGGAAAGGGTTTTAAAAAATGAAAAGTGGGCCCCCGGCCCCCTTTAAATCTTTTTGTTGGTAGAAGAAAAAAAGGCCCAAGCATTTTTAGGGTTTCATTTTTGTCCTTTTTTTCCAAAGGAGTTAAATTTTTTTAATTTTTTGATTTAAAAAATTTTATGCCTACCTTAAGAAAGTGTTTGGAACTTATGCCGGGACCGGGGGGGGCCCAAAAAAAAAACCCTTTTTAAAAATCCCTCCCAAAAGGACCCTTGAAAAATTTTGTTCCAGGGAAACCCCCCCTGTACCATTAACTGACTGAAAAATAGGAAAAACATTTTGAAAAAAAAATAAAAAATCAGGGATTTTTAAAAAAAACAAAGAAAAAATGTAAAAAATGTGAAAACTGAAAAATTTTATAAATTTTAAAATTGGGAAAAAATAAAAAGAAAAAAAATTATGGGCCAAACCCCTTTCCTTTCCTTTTTTAACTGGGTTGCTTTTTTTTGGAGAAAAGGGGGGGAACCAATGGGCAAACATTTTTTAAAAAAAAGAAAAAAAAAACTTTACAGGGGCATAAAAACAAGGTGTTTAAATAAAAAATCTCCCCCTCCCTGGTTAATTCTTTCACAAAAAGCCGATCCCAAACCGGGGCCCTATTGGACCGTGGGACCCGACCTGAAAAAATTAAAAAAAAAAGGTTGTTTTTTTAAAACATTGCATACGGCCAAAACCCCAGGCCCAAGTGCCCCAGACCCCTTAACCGCAAGGCAACAGTGGGATTGTATAGTGCATTTGTATTTTTCTTTTCTAGGTTAAAGTATATTTAAAAGATACATAGTGCACCTTTACAACAATCTGCATTCACTGTACTAAAAATAATGTTACAGAGAGAAGTGTTGTCAGGAAAGTGGAGTACAAGCAAGGCCATGGGATTGTACACCAATACCCATCATACCATAACAACATACTTAAATAATAACGTGAACAAGGGTTGTGGAAAAGTTTTAGACTACAGCCCCTTTATCAGGTTTAAGGGCTAGTTCCCACTAGATACAGTCGTGTGTTTTTTTTTGCATCAAAAATGCATGCACAGTGTTTTCCATGTATTCCAATGGCCCTAGTTCACACCAGTGTAGTCAGTTCCAGTAGGTTTCTGGTGCAGAACAAAAAGTAGAACATGCTGCATTTTTTTCTGCACAGAACCATACTGGAACATAGTAAACTGCATCAAAACTGCAACAGAACTGCATGTGGTGTGAACTGTAAGCAAAAAACACATACGAAATGCGTCCGGAGTGCGTTTTTGTAGTGTGAACTGAACTGGTCCTAAATCAGTTTTAGTTATGAAATGAGCTTCAACCTTTAATACCAAACAGAACTAACCATTAACAGACCAACATGCTTGGCCAGTAAGACTCAAGGAACAATATATTATACCAACCAAAGAACAGTTTACCAACCACTGTCCACCCACAAAGTGGGCGACATTACCTCACATAAAGGTGGACTGCGATGAGAGAAAAATTAACAAAGGGGAAGGAGGGTGGGATAACAGATCAAAAGATTCAGAAGGAAGGCTGAGGAGAATCCAAAGGTGAGTCCAGCTGACAGACCTGCGGTAAATGTTGACACCACCTAGTGACTGGAGAGGATATACAAGTGAATGGTAACACTCATTGGCCAGATGTTTCCCGCCAAAAGATCTATCACCAATTCAGTGCTCACCAGCTGAGGTAAATCTCCTAGCAACAGCAGGCAGCTTGTCACCTGAAACCCAAGAAAGAAAGAACCAGCAAAGCAGTCACAGAGATACATGTGCTTAACAATCATCATATGCCTCTGTTAAGAGATGTTAGGGTTGACAAACCCACAGGGTCACTTTTCTGTTTTTGTCTTTAGTAACCCTAACAGGACAAGGTCAAAAATAAAGGTCAAATGGAGAAATAGAAAAAAGCTGCATCTGTGAGTTACCGCACTTTATAAAAGGCAACTTGTGGAGAGGTGAAGTGTGCAAAGACAGAGTCTGGTTGCAGTAAAACTTGGAACTTTTGATGAAAATGCCAAACTACAAACACCCCAGTGGGAGAGCACTGCTTAGGGAAACTCTTCTAGTTCAGTTCAAGTGCAGAGATGCAATGGGAAGAGATGCGTCAACATCATCTGTCTCAGAGGGCGAAGTACGGTCTGGCCGGTCTGGTCCCAAAGGGGAGGCTTCCTTGAGAACAGCAAATACCTAGCCTGTCCATACTTGTCAGGAACCTTTTCCTGCTGCTAGTCACTTTCCGTGTCAGAGATGGTCTACACTGCCCACTTCACAGAATGCATGCCAAAACACAGGGGCAGGGACTTAAAAAGACCCTGCTGACCCAAGATAGCCACCAGGCGTCACATGGATGCAGCATAGCCAACTAGAACTTGCTCCATGACCCAGGAAACCATAGAGAAACCAGGTTTCCCTTGACTTCCTCTCCAGGCTGTGGAGGAAACAGTCTGCACCTGCCTACAATCTTAAGAGTGGGGTGAGTTGCCTTCGGTCAACACTCACCAACATACAGGATTGCACACAAATACTCCTCGATGTGGATAGCACACGTGAGGGCATAAGGCAAATCCAGGTGCAAGTTTGTGGACTGTGAAATGCTAGAGGACCCGTCAGGGGGTGCCAAATAAGAGAAACAAGAGGGAAAATTTAGATAAACTACAGTCTTGAGGAAGCCGAGAGAAGAATGAAGAAGAAGATGAGAAGAAGAATGGGAAGAATCATCAGAAGTCAGCTGTTCATTTCCTAACTAGTCTGTAAAAAACGGAGAATGGCCAGCTGATCTGGTAAATCGTGGATATCAATCAGCTGAATAGAAAATCTAATAAACCGCTAATCAAAAAATGTATTTGGTGGCCATGATTTGGGTTTTTGATGTACATGATTTGTTGAACATGATCATGGCATCATTTTTTTTGGTTAAAGTACTCATGATGTACTGATGGTCAAATGGAAAACATTTGAAGTCTCAGTCTCAATTGACACTCTGAAATGTATATAATCCCTCCTTGACATTGAAGTGGTTCTAAAGCCTAAACATTTATTACCTTTATAGGTATCAGTATCGCCCTCTCACCTCCCTTATACTTACCTGAGTCCTTACTCTATCC